AGATTTGATTCTGCTGTAATCATTTTTTTTATTGAAAATTAAATTAAATATTATCTTTTTTTCTCTCACTCTTGATTCTTGAAAATATTTATTGCCCTGTAAGAAGCATGACGATTGACAATAAAGGTAGTGCTGGGAGGATGGGTTGAATACATTTTTTATGTTTACAAATGGCAAACCCATCATAATTGCTGGAGGGATAAACTTGCAGAAGTTTTTTTTTTTTTTTTCTTTTTGTAAGTTTTAAATTTATTGTCAAATAAAAATAAATATAATTATTTTAAAAAATTTATGATATTCTCACCCAATTTTCCTGCATTGTTACAGCCACCAACAATAGTGTTACAAAGTGGTAATTTGGGTAAAAGTTTGATTAATTTAAGTTATTTTATTATTTTTTATGTAAGAATAATTTAATTGAAAATAATGAAGAATTTTTTTTCCTTTTTTAGAAAAGTTATTTCAGAAAATCTAATTTCGAAAGGGCAGAAAAAAAATCATGTTGAAAATATAACTTAAGAGATTTAAATTAAAAAAATAAGTATTTATAAGTCACACTCAACATGTTATGTAGTAGTAATTAAAGCTTCTTCTTTACCTATTGGATTTTTCTACAAAATATGAAGGTTTTTTCAAAGTTTTGGTCGGCAGTGCTACATAATTGCATTGCATTTCAAGGTCTAATATGTAATAATGAAAAAAAATCTAGGTTTGGGTTCATTGTTTAATTTGCGGGTTGGGTTCGAGTTAACTTGTGATTTTGATTTTGACCAGAAAGCGTCCCATTTAAAAAAATAAATCTTAATTTTTTTACTTATTGGTATGTTATTCTTATTTTTTATCAATTAATCTAAACTCTATACTTTATTAGTTTTTTATTTTTTTAATCAAAATTAGTTCATGTTGGGAAAGTAAAATACATAATGAACACAAACAAGAAAGAAAAATGCATCTAAAAAGAAAGTATAATCGGACTTAACATGAAAAATTTTGAAACGGGAAAAAATCATGGAGTCACACCACACAAAAAAAATAACTATAAAAATTTGAGAGAAATAATATAGATCTCTTTTCTCTCTGACTCTTCTATATTCTCGCTTCACTCATGCACAGTTCTCACATGAACGAACAAAGAGAAAACGCATACAAACTACCAAGGGACGCCCTTAATAAAAAACAAGAGAAAACTTTAAGCTGTCTTGCATAGTCGCGGCGCCGGGATCTAGAGTGTTGTAGTACTTTGCTCTCTGCCAACCTCAACGAATCAATACCATGCTATAGCGCTCTAGTACACAAGGCCATAGTGATGGATGGTTGTATAGACAAAAAATAAAAAGAAGCTCAAATCAACCAAACCCATGCATGGGGAGGACACCTAACAAGCTTGACCGATGAAAATGAGGTCCAAGATAGCAACACAAACCCAATTGATCGACACAATCAAATTGCAAACGAAACTAACAGTTATTAGGTTGGGTTTGGGTCATCCATGTTGGCAACATATCAGTTTCAAGTTCAAATTTATGATCCGTTTATTAAACGAGTCAAATTTATATATTTATTGGATTCAAATCGGGTTATTCAGGTCAAACCTGAACTCGATCAGTTAATTTGTTTTGACTCCCTTGACTTACATATTTTTACATCAAATGTGTTTCAAAATCTTTCAATTTATGTTGAGAATAATATTACATCTAATACATATGTAAGTGTTACACTAATCTCAATGATTATTTAATATTTTTGAAGCCTATCATAAAGCAAAACATATCTAAATATTCCTACATCTTATGATAATATTTTCTTACTTTTCTAGATATTTCCATCAACAGATAAAGACTAGCTCTGAATTAGGGAAATAATTAAATAAACTCATCAAAATTTGGATTCATCTAGGCACAATTTTGTGAAGGCATATTGTTTTATAGAAGGGGTAGAAGATATGATAAACAAACTTTTAAGTGCCCAAAATGAAAACTTTTTTCTCCATATTAAATTCAATGACTTGCTCTCCATTTTAATCCTTAATTTGTTTATTTGTAACATCTGAGGATTTCAATGTTTGCTTTACATTGGGCTTATAATTATTGTCATCTTCTCATCCTCTTCTTCTTCCTCTTAATTGGACTTGTCTTAAATTTATAGATTTATTTATTTTTTGACTAATTATTGCTCTATATTTTCATCTATTATAATATTTTCATATTTTGATTAAGAAAATATTTTCATATTTTGATTAAAAAAATATTTTCATATTTTGATTAAAAAAATATTTTCTTTCTCATGCACAAAAGTGCACTAACAAAATCAGTCAAATTAAAAAAAGAAAAGAAAAAAAAATCTTAAAATATTTATATATTTTTTCGAATGAAGCAAAAATATTTTACGTTTGCATCATTTTCTTTAGAAAACATATTTTAAATTAAATTTATTCATATTAAATATAAAGATATTTAAAAAAATTACAATTAACTATTTACTATTATTGATATGTGATTGAAAATTTATCTTGATCAGGTACGAATATCGATGCAAACATGAGATTAAGATTTAAAAAATTAAAATCTGGATCATCCAAACTCTAATTTCAGCAAACCTATAGTCAAATTGAACATCTAGAAGAGACAAACCCAACGACACCAAAATCGTTCTAATCCGAGCTCAAATGGTCCCAAATCAAGAGTTTGAAACATACTTAGAAGGTTCAATGCATTACTTGGATGACCAAATGATTATTGAATATGACATGCTTATAGTTGAATCGAGTAGTTTGATGAGAAAAATACAATGAGCCCAAGATCACTCAATTCCAATGTCATTAAGGCATCTCGATGCTTGATAAATACTCTATGATTAAGGGAATCATTATTAGCCATCAGATGGAACACTACGAACACGTCCTTGATATTTTTCATATTTACAAGCCATGCCACTCTAAAAAAGTATAAATAGGCCCTCTTTCTCGACATGAGGGGAAGAAGAAAGACGAAAACTTGGGAGCTCTCTAGCTATCGACAGCCACCAGATTTCTTCATAACAACTGACCGTCATCGGACTCCCGCCCATTTGTTGGTTGTCGTCGGATTTCTTCTTGACCATCGTTGGACTTCCAACCATTCATCGGTCATCGTCGTACTTCTTCCCAACCACCGACCGTCGTCGAACTTCCGTTTGTTGGTCGGCCGCCGCCGAATTTCTTCCTAACAACTAATCATTGCTGGACTTCCGCCTGTTCGTTGGCCACTGTCAAATTTCTTCCGGGTTGTCGAATGTCGCTGGACTTTTGCCCATTGGTTGGATCTCCAACTATCGTCAAATATTTGCTAAACATTCTCCTAACTGTTACCACCAGATTTCCAACATCTGCCATTCATTAAAGCTCATACTAGATTAATTTAGGAAATTCAAGGTCAACTAAATGAGGTAAACACCCCTTAGCTGGGAGCATTTTTTTTTTTTGTTTAGGGTTCCAAAATGTGATGACTCGAGGGATCTGGTTTAGGGTTTAGGGTTAAAATCAACTCATAAATATTCTAGCACAAAATAATATCTTAGAATTGCACATAGATACACACACATTTTAGAAAAAAATCAGTAGAGGCACAAAAGTCATATGAAAATTTAAGAAAAGAAATAATTACTCAAATTAAGAGTAATTAATTAGAACTTGTCATTAAATTTGGATTTGGGATTTCCACTAATTACCGATGTTCACATCGTTGAACAAAATCAGACAAAATTCCAGACGTCCAGTAACTTTTCCTGCAGTCGTTTTTAACTAGTCTGTCCACTTGGACTCACATTCCCTTAGCTGTTAGTAGGGGTGCCAATATTTGACACGACACGAAAATCCGACCCAGATCTGACCCGGAAAATCTGGGTTGGACCCGACCCGATTTCAAAACGGGTCGGGTTCGGGTTCCAGAAATTGACCCGTTTAAAAAAAGGGTCGGGTCCGGGTTGACCCGGCGGGTTGCCGACCCGCCGG